TGCAAGAGGCACGGATCCCCGCTGCGGAGGCGGCGGCTGCCGAGGCAGGGGCACGAGCGCGGGGGATGCAGCTGCACCCAGGGCCGCGCCGTGCTGCTGGTGACCACCTGCTGGCGGCGGCGCGCCGATTGGGCGGGGCGCAGCACGCGTCGGGGACCCGTCGAGCCTGTCAGGCCGGCATCTGGGTCGCCTCCAGCACGTTACCTTTCATTTTGGCGGCTCGCGAGCTGCCCATTTCATGAATGTTTATGGCTGTTCAGGAGGGTGGCAAGACCTTGAGCGGAATGCAGACCTCGTTCTGGAGGCCGTGGAGTGGCTCCGTGGGCTCGGCGACGTGCCCGCCTTCTTGGTGGGCGACCTGAATTGCCTTGCGGAGGCCGGGCTCGACAGCCTTATCGCCATGGCTGGCTGGCGCGACATCTTCGCGGCAGCTGGGCCCACCTGCATCCTTCACATGAGAGTCCGTCCCGCATCGATTACGTGGTTGCCAGCCCCGCCGCCGCTGGCATGGTCCGCACGGCGCGCCTGCGTCGGGACCTCGGCCTGGCCACCCACGCGCGGAGCTCGAGTTCGAGCTGCAGTTGCAGGACCCTGAGCCCGCGCTCATTCGGCAGCCCGTGCCTCCTTTCCCTCCTCTCGTCCTGCTTCAAGGCTGCGCGAATTGAGCCAATCAAGCTACGGAGGAGCCGTTGAGGCAATCTTGGGGCGTCGGGAAGCCGGAAAGGCGGGAACGTGAACAACTTTCAACAATCTGGAATTTGCGTCTCTTAGGGGCCTCTTGGGGGGCCTCTTGGAGCTCTCTTGGAACGTATTGAAAGCGTGTTGTACCTTCTGGAGGCTCTCTTGGAGCGTCTTCGGGGCGTCCTTGGCCGTCCAGAAGCCCTCATGGGCGTCTGGAAGCGATCAGGCAGTGTTTCGGCGATTCCTGAAGCGTTCTTGGGAGCCTCTGGAAGTCTCTTGGGCTTCTGGGAGCCTCTTGGGCTGCTGGGCGCTCTCTTGGGAGCCTATGACGCCTCGAGAGGCGCCCAAGACGGCCTCAAGGTGGCTCCAAGAGGAGCCTAAAAAGAAGACCACGACCTCTGAATTCCATGCCTTCTGCTCAAAGAGGAGGACAACGACATGGAACAGGAGGAGGAGGAGGAGGAGGAGTAGGAGGAAAATCAAGAGGAAGTTGAGGACAATGGAGACGAAGAGAAGCGGAAGAGGAAAGGGAGGAGGAGGAGGAGGAGCAGGAGGGAGAAGGAGGAGGGGAAAGGCGGATGAAGAGGAGGAGCACGATGAAGGGGGGAGCAGACGAGGAGGAGGCAGAGGTGCGTGAGGCGAAGGAGGAAAAGGAGGGTTATGAAGAGTGCAGCAGGGACCCCTTCCCAGGCGCGCGCTCTGGTGCTAGCTTGTTGCGCCCCCGGGGGGGGGGGGGGGGGGGCAAATCCTGCTCCCCCACCCCAACAAAGATCAACGTGGACCCCCGCACAGCGAAGATCACGCTGACAGGCTCAGCCCCCCTTAAACCTTGATGTCAGTCTACCAGGAGCAGGAGGAGGAGGGACGAGGGAGGAGGAGGAAGAGGGGGAGGACGGAGGATGAGGAGGAGGGAGGATGAGGCAAGAGGAGGGTGAGAGGAAGATCAGGAAGGGGAGGGACGAGGGAGGGGAAGAGGAGGAGGAGGAGGGAAGAGCAGGAGGAGGAGGAGGATCAGGAAGAGGGTGATGACGAGGATGAGGAGGATGAAGGGGAGAATGATGGAACAGGTTGGAGCAGGAGCAGGACGAGGAGGAGGGGGACGAGGAGGAGGAAGGAACAGGAGAAGGAGGGATGAGGAGGATGCGGAGGATGATGAGGGGAAGAAACGTCCTCTTCCTCCTCCTCTCGCGGGCTTCTTCGAGGCAGGTTCGAAGCCTCTTGGGGGACGCCGTGCGTGTTGGACCCTCTGGGGCTTCTTTTGGGCCTCTTGAGGGACTCTTAGGGGCCCTCATGGAAGCCTCTTGGGGCCCTCTCGGGGGCCTCATGGGGCCTCGTGGGAGCCTGCTGGGGCCTTCTTGGGTCGGGCTCCCCCTCTTGGGCTCCTCTTGGGGCGGAGTTAGGGCCCTCTTGGGCTGTCGTGGGAGCCGCCTGGGCCGTCTTGGCGCCCTCTTGGGCCGTCTTGGGCGCCTCTTGAGAGCTTCTTGGGCCTTCTCTGGACGGTTTCGGGGGCCTGTTGGACCGTCTTCAAAGCCGTGAAGGCCGGAAAGTCATGTATGCAAACATGTACGTGTTCCTATGGAAAATCAAAGGTTTTGGCCTCTTGGAGCCTTCTTGGGGCGCTTCTTCGAGGCCACTTGGGCCGTCTTGGATGCCTCTTGGGCTGTCTTGGAACCGTCTTGGGCATCTAAGAGCGATCTTTGGTCGATTCGGGGCCGTTGGGGCGCCGTCTTGGCCGCTTCCTGGGCCCCAAAAAAGCATGCGGGCCTGTTTGGGCGGCCCGGCACCCCCATGGAGGACCAAGGCTGCTGGGCCGGGCGCCCGTGTCCCTGTCCCCCGGGATATATATATATATATATATATATATATATATATATATATATGTGTGTGTGTGTGATACCGGAGAAAAACCAATCATATTTTTTGTTAATCTTCCAACTGCTCCCTTATAGGGCTATAGGGCTATCGGGCTATAGGGCTATAGGGCTATAGGGCTATCGGGCTATAGGGCTATCGGGCTATAGGGCTATAGGGCTATAGGACTGTGACCTATAGGGCCATAGGGCCATAGGGCCATAGGGCTATAGGGCTATGGGGCTATAGAGCTATATGGGCCATGGGGCTATAGGGCTATAGGGATATAAGGCTATTAGGGCTAAAGGGATATAAGGCTATAGGGCTACAAGGCTATAGGGCTATACGGCTATAGGGCTATAGGGCTATAGGGCTACTGGGCTATTGGGCTATTGGGCTATTGGGCACCCCCGGGCACCTGGGCACCCCCGGGCACCCGGGCACCCGGGCACCTGGGCCCGGCCACCGAAATCGGCCACGCACCTCACCGGCCACCCGGGCACCCGGGCACCGCTGGGCACCCGGGCACCCGGACACCCGGGCCCGGCCACCGAAATCGGCCGCATTCTCACCTAATCCTTTAATCCGCTAGGACCCCTACAGAGGCAAGCTCTGATTGGGGAATCTATTTATATATATATATATATGATACTGGAGAAAACCCCAAACAGTTTTTTTTTTCTTCCAATTGCTCCCTTATAGGGCTATAGGGCTATAGGGCCATAGGGCCATAGGCCAATGGGGCTATAGAGCTATATGGGCTATGGGGCTATAGGGCTATAGGGATATAAGGCTATTAGGGCTAAAGGGATATAAGGCTATAGGGCTACAGCAGGGCTATAGGGCTATACGGCTGTAGGGCTGTAAGGCTATAGGGCTACTGGGCTATTGGGCTAGGGCACCCCCGGGCACCCGGGCACCCCCGGGCCCCTGGGCACCCGGGCACCCGGGCCTGGCCACCGAAATCGGCCACGCACCTCACCGGCCACCCGGGCACCCGGGCACCGCCGGGCACCCGGGCACCCGGGCCCAGCCACCGAAATCGGCCGCACATCTCGTAATCCTATAATGCGCTAGGACCCCTACAGAGGCAAGCTCTGATTGGAGAATATATATGTATATACTAGAACCATCGCGCGCGCTTCGCGCGCGCTCAGGTTCTAGCAGGCCCCAGACCTTGACGAGTTCAGTGCTCCTCTGAAGTAGTGGACCACAGTCCACGCATGCCAATCTGCATTCCGAGAGGCCTTCGAAGAAAATGGTTGTGTAGGGGGGCGGGGGCCCTATGAATCGGGTTCCCAGAAGGACTTCTGGGAGCATGGGTTTGGGGGCGTCTTGTGGAGCCTGTTGGGGCGTGCTGTCGTCGTCGTCGTCGTAATGTCGTCGTCGCCTATTGGGGCGCACCGTCGTCGTCGTCGTCGTCGTCGTCGTCGTCGTCGTCGTCGTCGTCGTCGTCGTCGTCGTTTCGTCGTCGTCGTCGGTTCAAGAGGGCAATTGGGGCAACTTTGTGCGAAACAATCTGCGGAGGGCCGCAATAAGGCGATCAGTCATTTTCCCAATCAACTTCCCAGACAGCTCTCCTGTAGCATGATGGTACTTCGAAGCCTCCGGAGATGATGAATCATGTCCCCTGAAGGCTTTCTGGGGACATGGTTTGTTGGGCTGTGTTTGAGGGTTTCTTGGGCGTGCGCAGCGCCGAGGCGTGAGCGGCAGTTGGGCTTCTCGCGCGGGATGTGCGGCCCGTCCAGTTCCTGCCACGCAGCTGGCAATGCGGACGACGGAGCGTTCACGCCGAAAGGAAGAACGCTGACGTTCTATTGCTGTTGGCATGTCGGATGGGACCACACGGGTTGACTTGCCGTCGGCGGGTTTTGTGGCAGAGCGGGAGCAGATTCTAATGAGGAGCAAAGTTAGGAGAAGCAAGAGGTAGGGTTACGTCGGGCGTGTCCCCACAGGAGGATTTTGGGCGAAAGTATAGAATACTCGAAAAAAACAAATGGGCAAAAATAGTCAAACAAATCGTCCCCATACTATTTTTGACTATTTTTGCAAATCCCCCTGTAGAGGGACAGGCCCGACTTAGAGGTAGGGGGACAGGCTTCACCTGGCAAGCTGTCCTTCCCGTGCGCCATGCTATGTGCCTGTACTGACATCCACTCTCGGGCTGCGCTCGAGAAGTCTGTCTGCACTCCAGCTCTGCTGTGCAGAAAGAGGACGAGGAAGGAGGAACGACTACAAGAAGGGGAGAAAAAGGGGAGGCAAGGGAAGGGGACACACTTCTCGGTGCAACCTCAGATGCTCGAGGGCAAGCCGTCACCGGCTCGCACCCTCTAAAGGAGCTGCCGAACCGAACCGACTGGCTGACAGAGCCAGCGCGGAGCACCCCCTGCGCGTGGAGCATCGGACTGGCTCCACCCGAGGGCCTGACAAGAGCGCCGCCGAAAGCTGGTGAAACTTGAAGCTGGGCCTCAGTACTGCAGCGTCATGATTTCGCCCGGCCGCATGTCGGCTGGCACAGTGCACTGCAGCACGGTGCCGTCGGGAGCCCTCACGGACATGTTCTGCCCCGCCATACCCTCGGGGACGGCAACCTCCAGAGAGCGCACGCGCTGTGCCGGCTGCGGCCGCCCGATGACCAGCTGGCTGACCGGCGCACCTTCGACGGTAGGAGCCACGACGAAGGAGGAGAGAGGAGCACGAGGAGGAGGAGAGAGGAGCACGAGGAGGAGGAGGAGAAGGAGGAGGAGGAGGAGGAGGACGAGGAGGAGGAGGAAGACAGGGACAGCCACGAGGACTGACGCTCGAAGGAGGTAGGGGAAGCGGGGTGGGCCGTCTAAGAAGTCCTTCAGAACCCCCTCGAGCGCCCCAGGAACGCCGCAGGGCAGCTCCAAGAGGGCCCGAGAGCGGAGATCAGCTCCGAGATGCCCCCAAGATGCCCAATCAGCCCCAAGATGCCCCCGAGGAGGGCTGCAAGCCCCAAGATGCTCCCATGACAGCCCCCTGAGGTCCCGAGATGCCCTCCATACAGTCGAGAGGGCCCCAAAGCAGCCGAAGAGGCCCCCCAAGAGGGCCCGAGAGGCACCAAGACGTCCCAAGGGCGGCCCAAGAGGGAGAACACGAACTGACACTTCGAGCCCTTCACCCAAAAGCGGCCCCCGAGACCGCCCCAAGGACCCCAAGAGGCCCAAGAAGCATCCAAGATGGCCTCACGACAACCCACGAGGGCCGCCAGAAAGCCCGAAGACCACCCAGGAGGGTTCCAAGATGGCCCACGAGCGGCCCAAGAGAAGCCCGAGTCGGCCAAAGAGAGCCCTCAGACGGCCCTCGAGGTCCCCGAGAGGAAAGAGGGCCCTAAGAGCCCCCCAAGACTGACTCCGAAAGCGCCCAGGCAGCCCAAGAGCGCCCTCAGCCGGCCGAAGGAGCCCACCAAACCCTCTGAGGCGCCCCCAGGATGTTGCCAAGAAGCTCCAAGAGGCCATCAAGAGGCCCCCAAGAGGCACCCAGCAACCACCCAGAGCCTGTGAGAGGCCCGAGGTGTCACACGTGACGGCCTCCCGTGCCCCCTCGAAAAATCGCTGCCCAGAACGCTGCGCCGGCACGGTGGTGGAATTGCCAGAGGCAGCTGGATTACTACGTACGACTGCTACCAAAACAAGAACAACGAGGACGACGACGACAACGACATCAATGACAACAATCAGCTCAAGATTGTTCGCTCTTTCTGCTCGCGTGTCAATCAACATGTATATCCCAAGCCTAGATACTCGCCCTCTTCGTCTTCGATCGTACCCCTTTTAGGGGTGTTATCTTCCTTACCTGCCACGTGAAGTTGGCGCAGCCCCTAAAACAGGAAGAAGGGGGAGACGGGACAAATCATTTAGCGAGGAGGAAAGGAATGCGGGAAGTGAGGGAGGACGGAAGGGGCAAGGGGGAGGGCGAAGGATGGGGCACGAGAGAGATTAGCAGGAGAAGGGTTAAGGGCGGGAAAACAAGCGGGCGGGCAGGGCGGGCGGACCCTAACGGCAGGGCCCGGCAGCCAGACCTTGAAAAAGGCTTGAAATCAGGAGTGACAGGAACGAAGAGAACGAGAAGAAGGAGGAGGAGAGGGAGGGGCAGGGCGAGGAGCAGCACTTCTCACGAGTGCACCGAACAAAACATGACCTTGCAACGAAACATCACTGCATTCACGGCACGTTTCTGGGGAAAAAAAATTGCATCTGCAACATAATCCTTACGCTTCACATGGCGGACCCTCTCCCGCTCCGTGCTCCCAGGGCGTAGGTGGTCTAGGGAGATTCCTCTTCCAACCCCCATTTTCCCCTTAGGGGAAGGGTTTACCCCTCCCCCTTACTCCCTCCCCTTGACCTTGACGGGGGGGTCCGCGGGTAGTTGGAACGTCCAAAACGGCATCGGCGAGGACGCCCAAATCAATGGTTTCACTAAGATTGTGGCATCTTGTTGGCCTCCTGGGGGGGCGAAGCTAGTTGAGGAACCCCCCATTCTTTAATAGATCTCCTCCGAAATGGCCCCAAGAGCGCTCCCGAGGCTCCCAAGGGTGCCCCAAGAGCGCCCCAAGAGGTGGCCAGGAGGCCCCAAAAGGCCCCAAAGAGGCCCCCAGGATGCCCCCAAGAAGCTCCCAAGAGACTCCCAAAAGGCCGCAAGAGGCCCCCAAGACGCTCCAAGAGGCCTCGGCGAGAATGCCCAAATCATTGATTGTACCAGGTTGTTGGCCACATTTTGGCCTCCTGGGGGGAGGCACTGATTAAGATGACTACCTGGGAGGATGACCTCCAAGATGGCTCAAGATATTCCAAGATGCCTCCCACGATACACCAAGAGGCCCCAAGACCGCTCCTAGACGGCTTCAAGTGTCCAAAAAGCTCCCCCAGGAGGCCCCGAAGCGGCCAACAATCTCCCCAAACCTTGAGAAAACCATGTGTTTGGCATTCTCGCCTTTCCGCTTCCGATGGCCATCCGAGGCCTCAAGATGGCTCCAAGATGGCCCAGGAGGGCCCCGAGAGAGGCACAAAAGACCCCCAAGACGGCCCCAAGAGCGCCCAAGAGCGCTCCAAGAGCGCCCCGAAAGGCGACTGTTTGGGTTCCCGAGAGCAACGCTCCCAAGGGCGCTTCAAGAGGGCCGCAAGAGGCGCCCAGGAGGCCCCAGGAGGCCCTAACAGGCGCCCAAGAGGCCTCCAGGAGGCTCCCAAGAGACCCCCAAGAGGGCCCAAGAAGCTCTCATAAGCACCCAAGACGCTCTTAGAGGCGTCTGGGACCACCGAGAAGCCCGCAAGACGCTCCAAGAGGCCTCCACTGGAGGACCCTTCCTCTGTGTGCTGCCCACGTCCCTGATCGAGGCAATTCCTCTGGGCATCGTTTCTGGATGGGCTGGTGGGGTTACTTTTTTGATCTGCGGCTCCAAGGACGGCTCCAGGGAGCGGGTCAATCTCGACAGGGGCGCAACGCGAGACGATTGGCAACGAAGGCACATAGGCCAACGCCGCAATGCACGTGCGAGGGACAAAATGAACCTCATTAGAGCCGACCCGGGGAGGGAAGGCAGCAGACTGGAAAACCGGCGGAGGGTCGCACTGTGGCGCCAGCCCCAACAGACCAAGCCTGCGAGAAAGCGGGAGCGCTGTGCGGGCAGCACAGAGCCCGAGGAAAGGCACCGCCAAACGCGGCGAGGAGGAGCAGAAGGGAAGACAGGCGCAGGACAGGCGCGGGCGGCGACGAGGGGAGGGGGGGGGAGGAAACCAGGCCTCACTCACAGAACACCTCACGTGCTCGAAGCCAGAGTCCCAGCTTGCACCTTCCTTGCCGCGAAGCGTCTAGAATTTTGAGGAGGCCTCAGGCGGGACCTCGTTTGTGAGTGAATTGCGAGGAAGTCTCAGGCGAGAGCCCCCTACCTATGAGCCAGCAGTTCATGTTGGTAGTGGGAGCGGGTCATCCAGATCCTGTAATTGTCGTCACGTTTGGGCCCGTCGCGTCTGAGTGTTGAAGAAACCTCAGGCCAGAACCTCGTTTGTGAGTGAGTCGCGAGGAAGTCTCAAGCGGGAGCCCCCTCCCTATGGAGCCCGCGTTTCATTTTGGCAGTCGGAGCGGGTCGTCCAGATCCTGTAACTGTCGTTTCTTTTTGCCCCTCACGCCTGGATCTTGAAGAGGCCTCAGGCGGGAGCCTCGTTTGTGAGCGAATCGCGAGGAAGTCTCAGGCGGGAGCCCCCTCCCAAGGGGACCCGCACTTCATGTTGGCAATCGGAGCGGCTCATCCAGATCCTGTAACTGTCGTCACTTTTAGGCCTGTCGCGCCTGAATGTTGAAGAAAACTCCAGCAGGCGTCGTTTGTGAGTGATTCGCGAAGAAGTCTCAGGCGGGAGCCCCCTCCCTGTGAAGCCAACGCATCAGGTTGGCAGTGGAAGCGGGCCATCCAAATCTGTAGCCGTCGTCACTTTTGGGCCCTTCGCGCCTGAATGTTGAAGAAAACTCTAGCGGGAGCCTCGTTTGTGAGTGAATTGCGAAGATGTCAAGAAGTCTCAGGCCAGAGCCGAGCCCCCCCCCCCCTATCGAGCCCGCGCTTCATGTTGGTAATGGGAGCGGGTCACCCATACCCTGTAACTGTCGTCATCTTTGGGCCCCTCACGCCTGACTGTTGAAGAAACCTCAGGCCGGAACCTCGTTTGTGAGTGAGTCGCGAAGAAGACTCAAGCGGGAGCCCCCTCCGTATGGAGCCCGCAATTCACGTTGGTAACCCGAGCGGGCCATCAAAATCTTCTATGTGTTGTCACTTTTGGGCCCGTCGCGCCTGAAGTTTGATCAGCTTTTATGCGAAAGCCTCGTCCGTCAGTGAATTGCGAAGAGATCTCAGGCCAGAGCCCCTTCCCTATGAAACCCGCACTTCACGTTGGCAATCGGAGCGGGCCATCCAGATCCTGTAATTGTTATTTCTTCTGGCCCTTTCACGCCTGATTCTTAAAGAGACCTCAGGCGGGAATCTTGTTTGTGAGTGAGTCGCGAGGAAATCTCAAGCGGGAGCCCCCTCCCTATGGGGCCCGCGCTGCATATTGGCAATCCGTCTGTGAGTGAATCGGGAAGCAGTCTCGAGCGGGAGCCCCCTCGATTTCGGGCCCGCATCCCCATGTTAGAATCTGAGAGAGTCCCCGGGATCTCGTGCCTGTCGTCACTGTTGGGTTCCTCAGGAACGAAGGGCGGTGCGAGCCCTCGCAGGCCCATCCGAACGGGGTCACTTTTGTGCTCCTCAGAGGCCGCTCCCTCGGCTGAACCCATTCCCCCCACGCGGCGATGGCGTCACCATCGAGTGCGCCAGGGACGAGGACGCCAGTCGCACGTGCAGGTCGGACGAGCAGTGGTGGCTGCACCTCCCGCGTCACGCGCATGCGGAACCTGCTGATCTGCGGACGCCCACGCGAGAAATCCTGGAAATCGGGCCGGCGGCGTCCCTGCGGAAGGCGCTCCAAAAGTTCGACGAGATCCGCCGACCCCCTTGGGGGCCACCAGGCTGCGAGGATTAAGGTTGCTGTTCCCTGCACCCGTTCCAGGTTCCAGTTTCCAATGTTACAGTATTGCTTTCTGCTTCCTACTGTAAATTGTTACTGTCCGCGCGAGGGGGTGGAGCCGAAAAGGGCCCTGGTTAGCATCCCC